GGTCCCGGCGGCCTCGGGCCAGGTCGCCCCGGCCGAGTCACTCGCGCCCTGCTGAATGGGTCAGGGACTCCCGGCAGAACGAGGCTGCAGGGAGCTCCTGTGTCCCGGCCCGTAAAGCAAAACTTTTGTTTGGAGAAACGCATTTTTAGAAGCGCCGCAGACAAAGGATGCACCAAATGGCAGGATTTGCCAGCAAAGCTCTGGTTTTGTTTTGCTGATCCTCTGCTGTAATAGAGACACCGTCACCCTCTGGAGTGTGGACAATGGCTAGGCAGTGCTGTCAAGGTGAAAAACATTTCTCCTCTGACACTGATAGGTGTCTGATTGTCCCTCCGGAGCAGATCAGCATTAGATCACATACCATGCTTAATCATGCCTCGTGTTTGACTGCTTTGGCAGTATCTTCCTTTCCCTCTGGTTCTTCGGCACTTCCTGTGTCCTGTTCTCACAGATTTTGAGTGTGGAGTGGTGTGAAACTCGGTTCTGAGGGATTATAAACTGTGGGCTGCAAGGATTGTGCAGACCTGCTGAGAATTGAAGCATCCGGAGCATAATATTGCTTTTTTTCAAAGCAATTATGTGACCACAGATACATACAGGCCTTCTGGTAAGAGAGTTGACCGGTAATTGGATAGATGCTTGATATCTTTCTCACTTCTTCACCTTGACTGTAGAGAAAGTTCACATAAAAAAGTAGATAGGAAAGAAATGACAAGTTTGTTTTCAAAACAGAATGGAAATAAGCGAAAGTGACAAAAATGTGGCTGCTGTAGCAAAAGATCAAAGGCAGTGAACTGTTGTGGTGTTGGATATAAACTTCCCATTCTCAGTGTGTTATTTAGTAAGAAAATACTCAGTAGTAACTGGGAATGCTGTACACACAACAGACTGGTGTACCAGCACACAGCTAACTTTTGCTGGAAGCCAGTAGCCCTCTGAAACAGCAAACTGCAGAACCCTTCCTTCAGTGTGTGCTGGCCAGCAGATTATCTGGCCAACAGATGCTGTTGCCATGCATTTCAAGATTACAGTGTGTCAGGGGTTCTCTACAATTTCTGGAATACAGCAGGGCAGCAATTTGAAAAAAAAAATTATATTAATGAAAGTCTTATATTTTATTACCAACCCTCTTGTTACTCTACTGTGTGGTTTTTGTAGCCAGAAATAGGCTATAGTACTTGTTGTTTCGGTATAAGACAAGCAGCAAAGGAGCTTGTTGTTGTTGCTGAAGCATTGTGGAAAACTTTTAGTTTCCTCTTTCATTAAAAGCAAACCGGAAATACAGGTTTCCACCTCTCCCCCTACCCCAGTAAGAACATGTTAAGTACAAATTTGTTAAGTATTTTGTCAAATGTAAAACACTCTGCCAAATTTCAAATTAGAAGAGGTGTTTTAGTTCTTTAGTTTGCTTCTGTGAAACACTTAGTCTTTTAAATTCTTTGCTTCTGGTTTTTTTCCTAATTTCAGTGTAATGTGAGGCTGGGATAATGATCCATATAGGTTCCCTTTTTATCACAATCAGAAACACTGTTCTTACTATAGCTGTTAATGTTCAGACTGGCATTGACTTTGGAGATAAGTACAGCACAAAGTCCATGTCTTCAACACAGTGTAGCCAAAAAAAACACATTAGTGCCATTTTTGGCTGCATTTTACAAGAGAGTGTCTTCAGTATTGCATACTCTTTGAGTATAAGTGGTGATGTACACACACGGTTTGAAGTATTTCCTGGGTGAGTTGGTATCCTTCAGTGTTTGAACTTTTTATCATTCTGCTTTTATATTTGAGCATGGATCTGCTTTTTAGTTACCACTCTGCATTTTGAAAGACATGTATGCTTAGTGTTGCAGCTAGTAAATAAATAAAAGAACTGCAGTTATATGTTACTATTTCTTTATCGTGAAATGGTGACATGATGTAATGTGGCCTGGTCTTACACTTCTTGAATTAGTGTTACAACTTGTAATGACTTCATGTGAATAATACGAGACCTTTAGCTGATTTCAAGAGTTTGGTACCTGATTCAGCCTCTTGTGTTCACGTACACTGCTGCTGGATGGCTGCAGATTGCTCTCTTGGGGTGACAGGTGGTAAACAGCATGGACACACCATCATATCACCAGTTACATTGAGTTCTTGGTCACACGATTACTGCCATTCCAAACTCTGTGCCAAGCAGGAAGTTAAAGTTTGGTGTCAGGTTGTAAAATAAAGGGAAAATCTGCCCCTACTGTCCAGCTGACCCACTATAATGGGCCAGTGTAATTGTTATGCTCTGCTGGAATATTTTAGTGCTATATTATTTTTAGAAACAAAGGTGATTTACTAGGAAAAATGGTTGTATTAGAATTTAAGGCATCTGTTCCAGTGAGCTGAGTTTTATGAAATCACTGTAAAATGGCAAAGAAAAAAGCAGGAATAACTAATATGCTCCAAGAGGGCCATGACAATAATTTACTGTGTGGCTGCATAGATTTCTCATAGATATTTGTGTATATGAATAGACTGCTCTGTTTTGTAGATTTAGCGAAGTCAGAGATCATTACATAATTTTGTAATGCAAAGCTAGTGTAAACCTTAGTAATTGTCCTCACAAGTGGGCTTGGAATATAAGTCCTCCATACAGTGCCTGGCATTTAAATGTTGACAATAATTTACTGTGTGGCTGCATAGATTTCTCATAGATATTTGTGTATATGAATAGACTGCTCTGTTTTGTAGATTTAGCGAAGTCAGAGATCATTACATAATTTTGTAATGCAAAGCTAGTGTAAACCTTAGTAATTGTCCTCACAAGTGGGCTTGGAATATAAGTCCTCCATACAGTGCCTGGCATTTAAATGTTGTTGGGTAATGGAGCTGGACTACTTTCAGAGAGAATGGTGTGTCACTACTAAGGTGTGAAATAGAAAGTTTTCACTGAAGTATAGCAGGCAGAGGAGACCATATCACAGCAGTTGGTGGAATCAGTCATTTATTTGTATCTTACAAATAAGTTCCTGAAAGTCTGCCTGAAAAACATATTTGAATGAGAGTGATTTTTTGGGGTATGTAATTTATCAGCCTTCAAAACAGGGTTCCTTGGTGGCTAAATTAAAATTTAAATCTCTTCTAGAATGGAATATAGTGAAAACAAAAGTACTGCTGGTCTTGCATCCAAAAAGAATGGGAGTGAAATATTTATATAAGACTAGTCTGGTTCTAGAGTGGCTCTGGTCTTCAGACTGCACAGATTGTCTACTTCCTGGTGTGCTACAAGAACAGTTTAATGTTTGCATTTTTAGTAACAGTTTTACAGCCAAAGAGATGAATTTGATTTACAATTTAGTAATTAGACTAAACTTTCGTTCTCATGTTTTTGATCTTGCTAGGTTGGCAGCCTCGGTGGTTTGTTTTAGACAATGGGATATTGTCATACTATGATTCACAGGATGATGTTTGCAAAGGCAGCAAAGGAAGTATAAAGATGGCTGTGTGTGAAATAAAAGGTAAGAATTAACAGATTTCTGCTTGAGGAAATTTTAGCTGTCCTGTAAATAGAAGAGATCACCCAACATACATTTTGCATCACAAGTTTTTCTTCCTCAATTTTTTTTATCTGTAGTCCAGTGCGTCTGCTTCATAGTTCATAAAGGATAATGGATGTGAATTATGAAGTAGTGCAAAAGGAAAAATGTTTTTGACAGTTAAATCACAAAACAGCTCTAGAACCCACCGTATATTACTTGCTGTTTTAAATAGTCGTGTGCATGTGGCTTGTGCTTGGTGTTACCTCAGCTAGTTGTTTAGTTTTGCTGCTTTTCCCTCTTATGGCCAGAGATAGAGACTGAATCATGACTGCTAGTTTTCCAGAAGAGCAGCAGCAGTGACCCAAAAGGGGGGATACTTATAAACCAGAGATGTTTAGTCTTTTGTTTTCATGAGTAATTTTTGCTTTTTCACTGTTAGCAGCTGCCCACATGCACAGGTGATGGGTGTATTTGAGTTAGTAGGTAAACTGTTTGTGGCAGACTGTGAATTTAGCCTTTAGTGTTTTCTAATCTGTAGGTCAACCTCCTTGGCTGAGGTGGTCTGGGGGCTGTCAGTGGGAACACTAAATTGGGGAATACCACTCCTAAACCATGACATCTAGGTACTTGTATATTAAAAAGTGGAACTTGCTTTACATGGACCACCAAGTAGTTTTCATGTGGTAACTTGTTTTTGTTAGTGTTTCCTTGGTGCAGGTTATATCAGTGAGAAGTAGGGAAGATCGCCTTTTTTTTTTTTCCATTCCAGTTGTTCATTTTGCATGTTATTTTGTTCTTTTGGTGATGGACAGATAAAAGTTGAAGTCTATATTTGGTGCACTCTCCTGCACCCGTGGCAAGTGGGGAGTGGTTCTGGAGGAACTGTGGTCAATAACATCTGAGGCTAGATTTCATCCAGAAGAGAGATTATTTCAGTTTTTATCTAGTCTTCTGTCAATACCTGTCCTTGCAACAAACCCCTTCAGTTTGCCATGTTTAGACCAGGTATGGAACACAGCAGTTATTACAGACTCATACACCATATATCATTAATGCAGAAAGGGAACCCCACCATACTCGAGTCTGGACACTGCTCAGTGTCAAGTCTCTTAACTTGAAGGTGTGCTGGGGAGAAAGGTTGAGCCACTTTGGGCTTCTTGTTATTTAGCAGTGGTGCATTGTGATTTGCTGTATTGCTATGGGATTGTAATAAACATTTGAAAATACTTTAATCGGTATTTAATAAATAACTGAGTTGAGGTTATTATTTATTTCAAAAAAATTATTTTTTTTCTCTTCTATCACAAGTTCATGCAACAGACAATACGAGAATGGAGCTAATCATCCCAGGGGAGCAGCATTTCTATATGAAAGCAGTTAATGCAGCTGAAAGGCAAAGGTGGCTGGTAGCACTGGGGAGTGCGAAAGCCTGTTTAGCAGATACCAGAACAAAAAAAGAAAAAGGTATGTGTGTCACCTCCAGCACACCACAGCACACCACTTTTTCAGACGCTTCTTTTCAGATAGTCATAGTGCAAACAGTGTGGGACAAAGTCAGTATTATTGTCTTTAAATATAAATTGTAATTATTTCTAGTCATAGAATCAGAGAATTTTAGGGATTGGAATGGACCATACAGATCATTCACTACCTCCCTGGGTAACCTGTGCCAGTGTCTCAACACCCTCACAGGAAAAAACTTTTTCTTAATGTCTAGCCTAAATTTCCCCTCTTTCAATTTGAACCTGTTACCCCTTGTCCTGTCACTGCAGTTCCTAACACAGAGTCCCTCTCTGGCTCCCTTGTAGGCCCTTCAGATCTATGGTCCCAGTCATCTCTATGGTAAATCCCCCCCTGATGTTAGAAGTTACCTCCACTGACCTCTTCTATCTTAAGAATATCAAATAGAAGCAACTTACTGTCATCACAAGAACAAACATACTGTTTGTAGCTGTTGTGAAGCCATTTCATTTCTGCTGTTTTGACTCTTTATAGTTATATTGTTTTTTCCATAATTTTTCTTGGCTTAATGTAACTGTATCCAGCTACTCTGGTGGATGTAAATTTTATCCACTAAATTTTTTCTATGTTTATTGCAGCTAAGAAAGATTTCAGTTTTATCTTTACCAGTAATATGCCATAAAGTCATTAAATTAGCATCACTTATCCCAAAATAAAAACTACTGTATGCTTCAAGTATAGCTCTTGACTCATTGCAGAATCCAGTTTTCCTTAGAATTAACTGTAAGTGAATTTTTTAATTGATATTTAAATGAAAAGTGTGTAAAAATTACAATGTATACATACACTGTATGCAATAAATCAATATTTCTTTGGGGTTTTTATAGAAATAAGTGAGACCAGTGAATCTCTTAAAACCAAAATGTCTGAACTTCGTCTCTACTGTGATCTTCTGATGCAGCAAGTTCATACAATACAAGAGTTTGTTCATCATGATGAGACTCGCTCTCCTCCCAGCATTGAGGTACAGAATTTCTAGAAGCAATTATGTACCTGTGCCATTCGGTTAAAAGGCCAGAAGAGCTGCCATACATCAGTGCAATATTTGACCTCGTTTCACATCTCTGTTATGGGCACAGTAGCTGAAACAATCCTCTTTGTCCATTCTTACTGTTCACACATTCTGTTGCAAGTCATTTGTTTCACTGAATGATCTCCTGATACCAGTTAGTCAGTCTGAGGCAAGCTGTGCAGTAAGGCATGGTTGGCTGATACCCTAAAGAAACTCAGATGTCAGAAAGAAATTACAGTGCTGTCACATTTGTTTGCTTCAGTTTGCCTCATTGTAAGCTGCACATTTGATTAAATAAAATGGGAAATAGAAGCTCTTACTGGTAATGAGGGAAATCAGTGTTTGTGGAAATGGTGGGGGAGAGAGTTGTAGTTGCATACTTTTTTTTGCTTATGCTTGTGCTTTCATATATTTTCAGAACATGAACGAAGCCTCCTCCTTGCTTAGTGCCACATGTAATACATTTATCTCAACACTTGAAGAATGTGTGAAGATCGCTAATGCCAAGTTTAAGCCAGAAATGTTCCAGCTGCCTCAGCCTGATCCCTTAGTTTCTCCTGTGTCGCCATCACCTGTCCAAATGGTTTAGACATTTTGAAATAATAACTTTTTCTAAGTGTCATATTGTTGGCTGGATTGGGGGCAGGAGTGGCAGAAGGCTGTATGCTATGATTTCAACAGCTGAAATCTTGGCTCTGCTATAAATCACTACTGGTCCTGAGTATATATCAACAATTTTCCATTCCTAGTCTGTTTGCTAGCCTTTACATCATCAGAGTAGTTTGTAATACATGTCAAGCCCCTGTAATGAGGTATCTCATAAATGAATAAGGTTTAACTTTTCCTCAGTTCAACTGTTCATTTTTTAGAATGATAGCTGTACACCGATCCTAAAAATTTCATAACCTTGCCTCCTGTGTAAGTGCTTTGTGGTTTGAAGCACTTTGGCAAGGTAGCATATGTTTCAGTGTATATAATTCAAAATGTTTGTATTAATGTAACATATCCTTCCTTAAAAAAAATAGTGGTAGTGTTATGACTTGCATAACTATTTACTACTGATTATTTCCCTTAGAAGGACAGTGTATGTGGAATCATCTTAAATGGCTTCACATTTCATATTCATGGATTCCAAGATGAGCTGTGTTGTGGAATTTTTTGTAGGAATCCCTTTCTTTGTAGTTGGGTCTTTTGTCTCTTTATCTTCAGTCAGGTTGCTTACAAAGCTGGTCATTATTGATTTAAATTAATGACTTTCTTTGATATGCACAGAGATTTGACAGTGATATCAGAGAAACCACAGCAATCAAGAGGCAGAATTTGGTGTTATTGGGTAATGAGGAATTTAAGCTTCCATTTGGTAAAGGAAAAAATTCTTGAAACTTCGTTATATCATAGCAATTAACAAATGGCTCTGTGAGTAACTTTGGTGCAAGGGAGAATGAATTCCATAGAAATGAGGTAGTATTTTTTGTAGTAAACTATTTCCTATGTGAATGTTTTAAAACTTTTAGTATTGATGACAGCCCATCTGTTTTCATATACTTAAATTGGATTTTGAACTAATTGGATTAAGAACGGTTACTTTTAATTAAAACAATATTGCCTTCTCTCTTTGTAGCGCTGTAAGTAAAGTAAAAAATAATGCAGATATGCTTATTATATGTAGCTTGTGACACTTTTGATGTGGTTTGTTGTTTGGAATTTCTGACTCTTTTTTTCCCCTAGATGAAGCGTTCCATTAGCCACCCTGGTCCTTGCTATTCAGAACGGTAAGTTTCTATTTCATTAAGCTGTTTTCTTACATCTCAAAAAAGCTCCCTGAACTCGCTAACATTAAAATGAAAATGTGAGAGGAATTGTTCACTTCGGGGGCGGGGGTGGGGGGGGAAATGAAAAGGCATAAATCGATCTCATTTTGAAAACAAAGAGTGCAGATTATCAGTGTTGCTTAAAACACTGACATTTTTGTGGGGGTAAGTATTTCAGATTCTTGGCTGACTTACTTCTTCATGCAGAGACTATATAGCATTTTTATTTCCCTTTTCAGGCTTTAGAATTGTGAAAATAAGACTGTTGACTCTGCCATTTTTTTAGTCTAGGGTATGAGAAGCATTGATAGTTCAAATTTACTCTAAGCACAGAATTTATTTCAGATTTAAAGTATGTTAAATTTGTGTGGGTTCTTACAGATTTAGCTTCCTAATAGGTCTCATTTCTTTTGTAGGATTAATCACCCTGTAAAAGAACCAGGTTCATCCCTTCACCGATTTTCACAGCGGCGCCGAAGAACATATTCAGATACAGAATCTTACAGTGATACTCCCTCTGAAGATTCCCAGAGTAAGTTTGAAAGAGGAGTAGTTTTCTTTGTATCTTTCCATACAACTTGTTCTCCTGTTTACAGCAACTGTTCTAGCTCTGTTATCAGCATGATAAAAAGGCTTTTCTTAGTTACATAAAGTTTTAGTTGTATGATTCCTATATTATAAATCAAAGCACTTGTGTAGTTTGTTATCTAGCTGACTTTTGCTGGCTTTCATTCATATTGAAAAGGATCTTACAGCTGGAGTAGTTATATTGAAATCAGTGGGACTGCTGACTAGGGAAAAATAGAGACATAACTAGAAAATGGATGTTTGTGTTAATAGATTCTTACATGAATGATGTGGTGGTAAGTGGTGTGGAATATTGCTATTTGCCACCTGCTTGTTGTCGCAAAAGGAATTCTCCTTTTTGTGACTCCTGGGAGTGGTGGGAGGTAGTTTCCACCCAGTCCATTTTGGAAGGATGGTTCATTTCAGTGGCTGCTTGCCTTTTCTAGAGAACTGCACTGTTCTAAAGGCACACAGCATTGCCAGTAATGAAGATCAGGATCAGTATATTATGCCTTCCTGATTAGATGGGCCAGCTGAGTTAGTAGCCAGTTCTGTGATTTTTTGTTTTGACTCTTGCTGTCAATTTGACTCCATTCTAACTCCTCTCAGGCAGACCTTAACTTGACTGGTTCTTCTTGACTAGTTCTGGTTTAGTCTTGCTTCCATTAGGAGTACCTAGTGCCTCACTTGGATTTAAAAACACCTGAGACCTGGGCATTGCTGAAAGTCTATACGAGCAGAAAGAAATACTAACACCCTACATTCTCTCATGACCATTGTATCTGCACTTCAGTGCCATTTTGTTGGTTCTTTGATGCTCACATGTTGCAGGGTGACCACCTCTTTCACTTCATTCATCTGCCCCCAGCACAGGGCATGCTAGTAAACTTAGTTTATATCCTGTTCTCTGTCTGATGGCTAGTGTAGGTGCATATTGGTCTGGCTTCCTGTAACACAGGGCTTTTGCTTGTTACCAGCTGGGCCGTCTGGTGTTGGTTACCCAGTCTGACTTTTCAGGACTGCTGAGAAGAGTCTTTCTCTTACTAATTTCTGCTAATACGAGTCCTTTTTGGTTCCTTACTATGCAGCTCTAATTTCTAGCTCAGCTTCTCTGCACCTCACAAGTTTCTGTCCTTCATAATGGAAAAATCATTATATATAACCAAATTACTTGCTCTGTACTGACTAAACAGGCTTCATCTCCATTATGCTTGGGCATGACATTGATGGAGATCTTTCAGGAAGGGTCTAGAGTAATTATGCTTCTGTTTGCTTATGTATAGGAAATAGTTATCAGAGTAACGGAAATACTGGCTTATCATTTTTGTGCTTAAAAATTAAATACTTACTGATCTCTTCGTAGAATCTGCTCACTGTTCTAGAAGTGCTGTCAATGGAGATGTGGTATCATCAACCATTCCTGAAGAAAATAAATCCTTGTCAAAGGAAAGATCTGATCTGGAAGAGACTCTTTCATCCTTTTCTTCCTGAAGCAACTGAAAGTATTCAATTTTCTATAAATAATGCTATGCAAAAGCTGCTGTATTATACTGTTGTTATAGGAAGTAGTCATTTCCCTTTTTGGAAGGATTTCTCTGCACTTTATAGAATAACATAAAAACTATCTTTGAAGTGTATTTTATCTTTATATAGTTTATTTGCAAGAGTATTTTCCTAATATTTCACAGTTTGAATGTGCGTTTTTTTGGAACAAACGATGGCTTTAACAGATAAACATCCACATTTGTAAATGTAGCTCTTTTTAAAAAGTGTAAGGTCTGACTGATTTGTTAGTAAACATTCATTATAAACTTCAGCAAAAAGTTTTCATTTCTTTTGAAGAAAATGCAACTTGTGCCATGGGCCTCTTGGTCTTCTCTACCAGGTCATCCACCCAGATGATTAGCCCCACAATGGCTTTTTTTGCTGGTGTAAGGCCTGTGGGAATGGGCACTAATGGGTCTACTCGAGCAGCTTGACGGTAATTGACATTGCCGCCTTTAAAAACACAAGGATATACATAATCCAGTCCTTATTTTTAGCCAATGAAAGTAGAAATATTTAGTGTATTTTTCTAAACAAATGTATAAAAATAACTTAATATGAAGTATTTGTACCGAACATGGGATATTTAATAATTTTTATTTATTTATTCTTTTTTGCATCAAAAATTTCTACCTACTTTCACTACTAAAGATCTAAAGATCTACTAAAGGCTTCAAAATGTGCATAAATTGTTTCTGGGGTGTGTAGCATCACAAGTAGTTAATGCAGCACTGTTAAGAGTTACTCTGCTTACTTGTGTTTTTAGCAAAGTATTACAGAAGCAAGAGCTGAAATATTAGACTATTTGAAGCTGCTGTTGTATTGAATATTTGTATCTGTACATGTTTTTATTTAAGACATATTTATACAAAAGGGAACTTCTGCTTTCGCAACTCCTTTATATCATTTGAGGATGGTATTACGCCAGGAGATGGATTTTGCTTTCAGTGTAAATTTGCATTAACTGTGAGATCAGAGTCTGACTTTCTTAATAAGAAATATAGTACAACAGTGCCTACTAGCACCTTGGTCCAGAAGGTTGTTTATGTTAGCATTGTAAACTCTTGGGGAGTTTTTGGGTGTTTGCTTAGGGATAAACATGGTCTATAAAGTCTTAGCTGTAGAGCACTTTAAGCAAGCTATTTACTGTTTTTGATTTACACAATTGCTAAATAGATGTACAGGGTTTTTTGCACTCAAGCACATACCAAAATCTGTTCTTATAAACAGATCTTTAATTTGGTTTAACTGGTCTTCCTTTTGTGTATATAAATTGCTGATTTGGAAGCAGACTGGAAAGGACAGATGGAAATGGGAGCTTTCCTTACAAATTTTTGGAATGTTGATTTATCTAAATCCAAATAGGTCCAAATGTTGAGGCTAAACATATGAGCTGTTGCCCATATATGAAATGCCTGTTTATAAACTGTTATGTCAGGGTTGAATGGAATGGTCTGTACAAGGGTTTTGTGGATACCAGCTCAGAGCTGTCATTTGTGCTCAATTCTGTCAGTTTTCATGCAGTTAGCATTTGCATATGCATATCAGCCACATACATGGTTGTACATTTTTTCTGAATGTTTGCTTTAATGTATTCTGTATGACATGACAATTGTAAAAATAAGTATTAAAAAAGATGTTCAGAGAACAAAAAGATGTTCATATTGCAGTGAGTGTCTTGTCTTGAATTACATGCTGTCTTACCGCTGCTTTTTGAAATTTTTCTGAGGTTTCTGCCAGCTCGTACAGTGTTAAGTACATGTCACAAGGACAGATTTCTTTTTCTGGCTTTCAGCTACTATGGAGAAAAGAGTTTAGGACTCCATATCGTGCAAAAATAATCTGAGACCAATCAGTGTGTATAGTAGGAAATAATAATTTTAAATACTGCCACAAGACAAAAATTGTAATGATCACATTCAAGCACAAAATTTGCATGTCATTACTTTAGCACCATTTTGGGTTTCTCCAGGTCACCAAAGCCATTATTTCAGCTTTAAATATATATATGCATAATATCTTCCTACTAAAGCTAAATAAGCCTTTTTATATATGTACCTGTGCCATACATCCTAAAATGTATTTCAGTGCAATCAGTGATTAAGATGTGCTGTCATACTTTTGGCATCTGGGGCTAAGAAATCATTTCTGAAAATAATACTTACCTGGCTGAGTCACAATGATCCATGTGTAGTATGACTAAAATATGTCTGGATGTTCTTACACTTTAATTTCCCAGTTTGGAGGAGATCTTAT